CCCCCTCCCCAAGTAATGCACCCCCCCAGCCCCAATCCCTGGGCACCTGGTCCTAGCCCCAATCCCTCCCTCCCCAACACCCCTTCTCTCTCCACTCCCCCAACCCCACCAGACTTACCAGCTGGAGGCAGCTGTGTCAGCTGCCTGTTTAGTCTATGGCTTAATCTCCAAAGCTGTGCCAAATCTTTCAGATCTGATTCTGCCAAATCAAACTGGGACAGTGATTCAAATCTCCAAATTGAATCACTGTCCTCTGCATCGGCCGAATCCAAATCCAAAGCAAATACTTGCTGCTTTGCACAGGCCTAGTGTATTGCAGCTCACAAGTCCTAAGAGTGTCCCAGAGAAATAGTGGAAGTCTAATAATAATAAGGGCATGGAAAAAAGACATTTTAATAAAAACATATTTTATGTCTTAGAAGGCAGTTTAAATACTTTTTTGTAAAATATTCCAATCCAGTAACTTTTTTTAAAATGAAAAACTGTGCTTTGTTCTATTTATGCTAAAAAGAAAATGTTGACACTGTTTTCAATAACATTTTACAGTAATTTTTCATTTACTAAACAAAAGGTCAAAGCAGATTTTGATAACATTTTCAATAGATATTTTCCATCCTTGCCCCCAAAATTGCAAACAGCACTGAAAACACAAAATGGTCCATATTAAATAAAAGCTAACTCTAATATTCAATTTTTGTCTCAACTGAAGACTCAATTTTTACCATATCTGTTTGCTTGTATCCATACTTTTTTCTACATACATTTGATTATCTTAGGACAACAGGATAAAGTAGTGGAACTTACAGCTGAAGCTACAAATATTTCACTAGCTGTGACAGTTCTACAAAACCTTTAGAGTATATTCACTAACTACACTTCCTATCAAAGTTGCAGTATAAAAATTTGATTTTTTGTATTTGTTCTAGTATAATAAAGAGACTTCAGAATATATGAGTATTTTATTAAAGCAATGGGAGGAACATTGGTTTTAGACCAATAATCTAAAAATAAATACTCAGGTAGAAAAAATAATGTCTTCTTCAAATAAGACACTACTAAAACTTAATGCAATCATTGATAATCAAGGTAAATCACATTTTAAGTATCTGAATATATACAATGTGTATGTATGCATTGCAAAGCAAAATCATGCCATGCCTTTGCAAACTTATAAAGTTTGTAAAGTAGTTCTTTTCTTGCAAATGCTTGCAAAATTCTAGCAACCAACTTTTCATTTAAAAGGTAGGGAATAACCTTTAAATATTTTTTTAAATTTCCTTGGAGCATGCATTTTAACACTATCCTTCAAATATGTAGTCTTGCTGGCCTTACCCCAAAAAAGGAACTTTGTTAACAAACTTCTTACTTTCATTCTGATGATGTGGCCATACATTTTACAGGTACAGAAAAATGACCTCTAATTTCACTCACCTAAGTCAGGCAAAGATCACTGTCCATAAGATACTCACAGAAAGAAGTCTCTTATATCAGAAGCTTATTTATGTTTATAGTTTGTTTTACTATTAAAATCACCTATCTTGCAGCTCTGAATCCCTGAACCAGTGTCCTCATTCCCAGTGACTGTATTAAGCTCAGCTTCGGGGGGAGGGTCTTAAAGTGATAGCACATGAAGAAAGGCATGTTAAATAAGTCCTGTAGTACATACAGATTTACCTTGATGCCCACTGGTCACTGAGCATAATCAGTTACTAGAATATTTATAAGGAATACTTATAAGTAAACCACATTTAGGTGAAAGCATCCATCTGAGAATACATGTGAAATTATAGACAATTTCTCTTGGCTTAGCAGAGGAAGGATGGGCTTCCTCTTAAGTATGTCCTCTCTCTTTCCAAATTGAACTGCTCTCGCTTATTTAAACTGGAACGTTGTGCAGCTCAGGTACTGTGGAAAGGCATCCAAAATATTTACTCTGAACCTCACTTGAACTAAGACTAGGATGTGAGATCTAGGGTATTTGCACACTTCAGTCTATACTTCCGTAAATTCAGCAAATGTGGACTGAGGTTGTTTGCACAGCTGGTCAACTGGCAAATTCATCCTCACTCCAGCTGGAAGACTGGCTCTCTCCCATGCTCTAGTGACCCCTGGCTCCTGGCCTGGGCCTCTGCAGGCATGTGGCTGCATTTCCAGACTCAAAAGTGAAGGTGTGTTCACTTGCTTATCAGTTCAATCTATACAGCTAAGACTAACCCGAGAAGATTGAATAGATTCAACCTTGGGCTTTTTGACTATCTGTTTCATGAATACCATTGTCAAGAGAATTGGGCAGGGCTTGCAGAGTCCTCCTAGAGTGAACTTGCCTGATTCATCATTGTGCTTCCAAACTTGGGGTCTGATCCTCTTCTCATTTCTCCTGATGTAAAGCAGGCAAAACCACATTGGACTCACACGATGGAAAGACAATTCTTGAATTTCTTTACATCAGGAAATTGGATAAAATTAGAAATAGACAGATAATACTGATCTTAATTAAACCAGTTCTTGTTTACTCTCTACCACCTACTTTGTCTACTGCTTTCTTTCGAGTAATTCATACAACTCCTCTTTTCCACCCACTCGACACTTTAACTGACATTTGATTAAGAAATAAATTTATACCTAATAAGAAAACTATTGTTTAAATGAGCAGTAATACTTTAAATTAAGCACTTTAAATACACCTAATTATGCATTTAATTTAGATTTATCAGGACAGGCATTGTATGCTAACTAAACACAATTAGATAGTTTAAAAGGTATTTATTGAGGTTTAACAACTATGTAGAACATAAGTATTTGCTACAAGGCCGGCAAATGTTATAATTTGTTATTTACTTTACATACCAGTAAATTTAAAAAATATATATTTAGTTGTATTAGGCACAGTGGCATTACATAGTTGCTTTAATATATTTATTTCCATTATATATAACCACACCAATGGTGTATATATATCACATTATTTTTCACAAAAGGGCATCACTTTAAATAATGATGCCGGGGAGTTCTCTAAGGCCCTCGCACACAGAAGTTTATAGTCCGTTTCCCATGGAAATACGAACTGACTTACTGTGCCTCGCTAGATTTTTTAAATTTGTTTGCCTGCTGGCAGCTGGACCTGGCTGAAACTCAACATTTCTGGTTCACAAGACATTTCAGCATTCCGATTTGCAACGAAGAGACCTTTTTCAAATCTCCCCCCAAACTTTTAGTGCCGTGAAACTTTTGTTTTGGAAAGACCAACCCCACCAAAATATGCTGCCCACTACCAGGCAACAGTGAGACTGATTAGAATCATGTCTCTTTCAGTCAATATCTGCTGGGGTTTCCCTGATCCACAGCTCAACAACAGCCCTGCTATAGAGGTGGGGGACCTAGAACTACCAGCTAGATCTCTGAGAGTCAGGTGACCGAGAAGTCTCAATGCCCTGTGGTCCCTAGCCCCAGGGGACTTTGGGGCTACTCTGGATCCATGGACACTGGAAATCTCCGACTCAGAAGGAGAAGGGCAATGGCCAACAGCAGCAGAATGTGAAGCCTGGATTTCCTTCTTCCAGGAAAGTGTGTACAGTGAGAATGTGTAGAGTGGCAGATTTTGGCAGGCTGCTGAAGAGCCAGGCAGGTGACCTGGCAGGAAATCAGGCAAGTTTCCAAGGAAAATCTGCTTAGCAGGCAGCACTCTGTTGGAAGATTCATTGAAAGCCAGATGTTTCCATGAAATGTTTTGCTTTTGACAAATCGGCACTTTCTGATGGAAAAACATGCCGTCAGAACATTTCTGACCAGTTTGACTAGCAACTGCTGCAGCGAGGAATCCCCAGCCTGCTACTGAGGAGGTTACGACAGTGTTTCAGATACAACTTACCAGGTGGCATCTCCCACTAGCTCTGCCTGCCCCCACTTCATCTTCCTTCAGAAGATAAAGCAGCTGCCTGCTATTGTCAACTATTTCATAGATGAACCTGTCTCTATCTCTCTCTGGTTAGATGATAACTGAATGATGGATGAACAGGGAGAGATGCCTTAAGTGGAGATTGCCTCCATTCCACAGGCCATCTGTCCTTCTCAACTCCTTCTTCCTCCCCTAAAACTTGATTCTAGAAAATAAAATCAGGCAGAGCAAGAGCAAGGGCAAATGTATGTACAGGGTGCCCCAACTACCTTCCTCGCTCAGAGGAAGATTTTCTAGGCTGATAGACAGGCTTGTAATCTGCAGGATTCTGCCTGAAGTTATAATCATTTTAGCCTCCTCACTGATGGAAGTGTTCGGGTACTAAGCCAAAAGCAAGCAGTGTCTTTACTAACTCCACAGTTCACTGACACCAGAGATCAGACTGCTTATAAAGAATTTGATACCTTTTTTGAAGAAGACCCACTCCCCATCATTTCCAGCCAAAGAACTAGGAACCAAAACAAATGTTGGGAATTCAACAAGCTTTGTCTTCAAGGTCACCTTTCGTGTTCAAGATCAGCCCCACCCAGTCCTGGGTAGACACAGAAGATAAAGAGGATGCAAGGGACCAAAACTTGGGCAGCCTCAACAATCCCATTTGAAGACAGGCATCTGTACAATTTTAAAGTCTGAGAAATAATCCATAATAGAAAGAAAAGTATTTGAAGGCCAAGAAATGTACACAGGGCACTGGAATGTATTTGACAGTGATGCCCCTTCCCAGAGTCCTGGCTATTATAACCCAACTATAACTAAAGACAGGCAATGGAAAACATGTATGAAACTTTGCTTAGAGGAAGACTTCTTTAAGTGCCCAGTGTGCCAAGATATATTGCAGCGTGGCAGGCAAGGCAACACTGGTATCCCATGTACCAGGGCAATGGCAATATTCCAAACAGCTACTCGGTATACAGTTTTCAGAGCCATCACTATTATTTAAATGCTGTGCAGAGTAATATCATTATTCTGTTGAAGTAGCTGTTCTTTAAATCAAAAGACCCTTTATTTTTCTAATGCAGTGTATTCAAATCTGTGGAAGCCAGCTTGTACAGAATACCTGTCCATCTAATAGTTCCCAAAGTTCAGAATGTATATCAACTATAAATATACTAGGATGTCTAAATAATTGTGTCAAACATTGTGCTTATTTGTACCGATGACATGCAGATAAAGCTCACTGTCGTTGCTGAGAGTATTACAGATGCACAGTAATGTAAATAATGGCAGAATTTTGACCCTGTATTTCAATTAACATTACAAATTAAATCCATATTTGAAAATGTTCCCTAGTTTTATAAATATTATTGGTCTACAATATTAGACTAGGACAGCTTTGCACACTAGCCACTCTACAATATGTGGGTTTTTTAATCAAACAATAATTACAATTACGCTTGAACTGATCCTCCTTCAGTCAGCTTCCTCAGTCGGGTTAAATGACTACTGAATGTTAATATTTTTCCCTTTTGTCAGGAATTGACAACAATTTCCAGCAAAACACTGGGAGAAGGATGAATATGGAGGGCTATGCCATTCCAGGTTCCTGCCATTATTCCACTTATATGCTTGTTCTATGGAGTTTGTATTTGCAGTAATAAATAATGTTTTGAAACAAACAGGTGATTTCTGTAAGAAGAATCGACAGTATTTTTTGAAGGCAGTGGTTTCTGTAGAAACCTTTCCTCTCTTTGTCCTCTCCTATCTGCAGGGTATTGACAGCTCTGACAAGACTTTGATTATCTAGTCAGCAGGAGTCTGAGACTTGTCACTTGTCAGGTGTGAGCCGACAGTCACGCAGCTGATGAAACAATTGAAAGGAGATAGGCTGAGCATGAGGAGGATCAGGGTCATCAAGCCCAAAATGTGCTGCTGTCTGGTAAGGGGATGGCTTACACCCTCATTAATGACTCCAATAAGACAGAGAAGTGAGGAGGGGAGGAGCTAGATAAATACAAATGCACACAAAGGGTGGGGATGGTGGGAAAACTCCAGTTGTCAACAGCTGTTTCTTCCACATGGCTACACAGCCGGGGCCAGATCCTGCAAAGGGCTGAGCACCTGCAGCTCCAGCAGAAGTCAATGTGAGCTGCAGGTGTCCGGTCTCTCTCTGGATTGGGCTCTTGGTTATTACAGGAGTGTAAATGGGATGATGCCACTCAGTAATAAAGACCTTCAGCACCAAGCCTGTTATTTAATACAATTTGCCCTCCCCCCACTACTTCATCCCTCACAAAGGAGCTGGATTTTTTTCAGGCAGAGTTTAAATCTGATATTGAATTTCAATCTGATTTGATTCAAAACTAGAATGATGAGGATTTGGTTTGGGGTAGAAAGACAGGAGACAGGGAAATGATTTGGACAAATACAAGACTGAATAATGAAGATCCTCAATGTAATGTTGTATGGGGTTTTCAAGATGAGTTCTAAGATGTAATTCCAGGTGATTTATTTCTGGTATTAGGAGGGAAAAATTTTCCACCCAGCATCCGTGAAAGGTCAATACAGTGACTTCACACACACTGGGAAAATTAATGCCAACCCAGGATACTTCTGAGGGCTACTGGCTCAGCTCCTTGGAATATGCTAAGTAAGTGGTGTTTGTAGGGGCAGTTTCTGG